AATTTGATAATTTTGAAATAACAACTGCTCATCTTGTGGACATCGTAGGTCATTTAAACAAGTTAAATTTGCAACTTCAAGGCAAAAATGCTAATGTTATTACATATTCAGATAAACTGAAGGCATTTATTGAAAAGCTCAAACTGTACAAGACTAGAATTAATAATGGAAACTTGATCATGTTTCAAAATTTAAATAACATAATTGAAGTTAACATGCTTCCTGAAGTTATAAAGACAGAAATAGTTTGTCACCTAGATAATTTGATTACTGAATTTGGTAACTATTTTCCAGATATGAATCTTTTGAGCAGTGAAGTTATTATATCACCATTTTCTTGTGATGTGAAAAATGTGAAAGAGGAAGCACAAGAAGAGTTTATAGAGTTAAAGAATGATACCACGGCTAAGGATCACTTCAAAGTAGCACCATTAAATAACTTCTGGTTGAAAATGAGGAATTCATATCCATTGTGTTCATCAATTGCACTTAAAGCCCTTATTCCTTTTTCAACATCATATTTGTGTGAAGCCGGGTTTTCAGCAATGCTATCTCTTAAAACAAAAAAAAGAAATAGACTTGATATTGATGCAGATATTAGATGTGCTCTATCAAAAACTAAACCAAATTTTCAGATATTAATTGCTAGTAAGCAGTGTCAGAATTCACACTGATCTGTTCTTGTGTCATACATAAACTAAGATAAAAATTTTTTTGTGTCATTGATAAATATTGATTTTGTGTCTAGTCTATTCAAAAATACCTTAAATAAAATATTATCCTTATGAATAAAAGTTACATTATTAAAATGTTCACCTTGTAATAATTTTTAAAATCAAAGGGGTCCATGAAGATTTTAGGATATTTAATTTGGGGAACGGGTTAGAAAAGGTTGAAAACCACTGGCGTAGGAGAGTTGACTGTAATTGTCATAAGGGAATTGCAAAGGTTTTGCAACTGTTAACAAGTATTTGAGACAAGTTTAAGCAATGATCTTCATAAGGGAATTGACTTTGTAACTATTATTGTAATTGCGGTGCTTGAATTAATTAGTTAAAAAATGAATTAAGGGGGAAGTACCCAAAAGTGTTAAAAATCATGTTCAAACAGTAAAATTGATTTTAAACAATATATAATGTCAAAATTTTATATTTCAGAATAAAAATTTTGAAAAATTGTGCTTTGTTGCCATAGTAACTAAAAAAATATTTAAAAAAATAATCAAAAAACATTTAATGCCCCGGCTAACTTATCTGAAGAACTATTTATATTTAAACTGTCATACTGCAATTCCCTTTAACTAATACTTTGAACTGTGATCTGAACCTAAATATTTATGAAAAATATGGCAGTTAGTTCTTCAGGGGGCAAATATATTATGGTTTAATGAATTTTGGTCAAAATTAGACAACTGAAATAGACGTGTTCTGTCAAGTATATCATAAAAGTGAGGGTTCAAATCACAGAAGGTATAAAATAGGATAATTACTAAAAATTTCATCATTAAACACCCAGCCAGCAAGTCATATTGGGGCCCAAGTAGGCAGCTTTATGGGGCTTAAATGGGTTGCCCACATCCCGCCCTAGGAAAATTGTTGCTGGGCGTGAATTGGGGCCCAAGTGGGCTGCATATGTAGGACCCACATGGGTCCCACTTTTTTATTTATTTAAATTTTTTATAATATTTTGGGTAACTATTATTTATTTTTAAATTGAATACATTTAATTTAGTATGTAGTCACAAATATATTGCGTGAGTCTAGCTATAAAGAAGTAAAATAGGAAACCAAAAATAGAGAGAAAAAGGTAAACAATAATAAACATTTATAAATATACTGCAGCTTTTGAATAGTAAAATAGTAATAGTAAGAAATAAGCAAATTCAAACCTTTTTTTAAATAAATTTAATGTAGGCTTTAAATTAAAACTCTTCAAAAGCTTCCCTTTTATATATATTTTTTTGCTTGTGGGTTTATAAAAACTCAAATAGTGTATACACTTTCAAAAACTTTTTATACATAAAAAAAATAATTTTCAAATACAGTTAAAAACTCTTTTACAACCACTAATACATGACATTAATAGCACTATTACGGAGTCTTTAAAATGATTTGACTTTAAATAAAAAGGTTTTTTTTGAAAAAGAGTTAATTTGAATTTAGTTTAAAATTTGAGAAAAGCTTTGAGACGTAATTACATTTGAGAAACGTAAAGGGGTTTTCATAAAATAATTGTAATTTATATTCTTCCAGCTAATTGCCTAGCGAAGTACCTCATACCATCGCGCGCACTATCAGATGGTATCTAAATTTAGAAAATAAGATGGGATTTAACGCTTTTTTAACTTCATATATGGGCCTTAAATGGGCCTCATATGGGCTAGCCCTTGAATACAAAATTTAACTTTTTTAACTACATATATGGGCCCAAATAGGCCCCAAGTGGAGTAGCCCTTAAGTACAAAACATTATTGTTTTGTATTCAAGGGCTAGCCCACATGAGGCCAATATATAAAGCCCACATAAGGCCCACTTGGGCAAACCCATATGGATATGTTTGCCCCAATAGGACATGTTCGCTGGGCACCAAGCGGTTCCAAGGTTATCACAGCCGGGGCATTTAAAAACCCTTCTTTTAGAAAAACACAAAAATAGAAAAAAAAATTTCACAAAAAATATGAAATACAACTAAATTATGTTTAAAATAATGTTTCAGAATGACCCAGTGGCATACTGACTTTTTTCAAAGTTTTCATATTTGTCCTTTAACGCTTTTGACAACCCTTGTAGAATCTTTCGCCGCTTCTTGGATGACTCTAGATTTTTTATCCAGCTAAATAAATACGTTTTTGATTTTGATTATCGCACAAACTTGATGTATATTTTCCAGGCGTCATGTTCAACACCAGGATAAGTAAATTTTACAGCTGGATAACTTTTACTGTCACCATCTTCATAAAATTTAGTATACTGCAATCTGTATTCTTTGACAGATCTATTAAATATGCATTTGGCACCAGTCACTTCCATACTTCCTGCTGAGCCAATACAATTTACGTTACAACTATGAGATTTGTACCAATTTTTGTAGCATTCTGAATTCTTTGGTTTTAATCTTCGCGTAGTTGACATTGCTTACAAAGTCTACTCATTGGCTCAACATCTAACACTTTTCCATTATCCATCGACAATGTTGTCACAATTCCATTCAGTAAACTGTATCCTCTACGTTGCCAAGTTCCACCAGTTGAAACTCCAGTATCAACAATGTTGTTGCTATTAACTTTTATTTCTTTTGCAGCCTCAAGCATTGTTTCTTTAGCAACTGTAGTAACAGCATCTGTAATAACCTTTACAGAGCCATTGTAATTTTTTTTACTCATTGGACTTGGGAGTTTCATTTATGCAGAAAACATTTCAAGTCCTGAATACCCTTGTCCAATTGATTTCATGCTATATACAATACGAAGATTAATATCATGAGTGCGGTTACAAACTTTAGATGTATAGAAATCTTTTCTATATCCACAAACAGTGCAGTAATATATTAAATTTATTAATAAATTAAAGTTTTCTTTCAATACCAAGCATATTATCGTTAATACACTGTGGACAACATAAAGATTCAAATATAGTGTTTAAAATTTCAACATCAATTATTCTATAACCATTTATTTTTTCATCATTTTTATTTGGAATATCATTTTTAATATAATCAATCTTGCTGGAGATGATAAAATGAGTTGGTTACCACAAAACACTTTTTTCTTTTTAGTAACTCTAGTTCTTTGCTTGACTCTATCTTTTCTTCCCATAATTAAGAATAATTTTTATTAAAATTTGATAAAATATATTCTTATAACACTTCACAACTCATATAAACAAAGTAAATATTTGCATTTAAGGAATGTTTAAAAACTTAAATAGTTAGAGACAATCGAGTCAAATTTAATTTAAGCAGAGTAGATAATTGAAATAAAAAGAAAGTAGATAAAGCCTTTTTTATAGGCAGATTTATAACTTTATGTGAGCCTCTGAAATAAGCAGATAAGCAAAAGCTTTATCGTTACTATGTGCGTTGCTATGGTTAAGGTTGATGAGTATGGTTCAAAAAATTGAAATTACTCCACTTTCCTGACATTATTTACAAAATATCTTTTTTTCATTGTGTTTTTCATTCATTTTTACTTCCAAAACAATCAAAAAAAATTTTTTTCAATTGCTACTTAATTTATGGAATACTTCCCGAATAAACATTCAAAATTAAAAAAATAATAATTCAACACAAAAACTTGATCAACCAGTTTCAACACAAAAACTTGATCAACCAGTTTACTGAAATGATGCTAGTCTTCTTTTGAGGTTTTTTAATTTGTATAAAATTTATTTTCTTTGTTTTATCTAAAACTTATCAAAAATATTTAGTCAACTTCCGCGCTCGAAATAATTATTTAAAGATTACCGATCATACTAATCGGCTGAAATGATAAGATTTGAAAGGTAGAGGATAAAATAATTTTCCGGACAAGCAACTTTTTATAAGCATAACTGTTTATATAACACATAAATAACACTTTTTGTGTTAGTCAGCTTGAAGCACCTCAGCGTAGTTTAACTACGCTGATTTCCGATTTAAGTTGTACTAATTTGCCCTAATAGAGCAAATTAGTAAAACTTAAATCGGAAATTTTAGCAAAATCCTAAACTTTGACAATCTATATAAAACTTAGGATGAGATAAAATACATGAAAAGGTATTTTTTAATACAACTACTTCTGCTTGCGTTGAAAGAAAAAAATATGTATATATCTTTTTGCTTATACAGAATTTTAGATTTTTATTAAGTCTAAATTTGAAATTCTTTAGGATTTTGCTCTCTCGCTTCAAATTGTTAAAAAATTATAAATAAAATTTCAAAGTTCATTAATTTAAACTTTATAGGTCAAAAGAGTAAGAGCTGTTATAAATCCAAACTATTTCTTAAGAACATGTTTTTTTTGTAATTTTACTTTGTAAAATTAAGTATATTTAAAATTTACCTGAAGAAAAAGACTTTAACTGTTCAACAACTGGATAATAAGAAGAAACATTGTCTTAGATAAATTTTTCCAAATCTGGCAAAAGCTTTCGTATTTTGTTAGCATTTCTACCATCCAGTCCACCTCCATTATACCCATGTTAAATAATTCCATGCTTTTTTAACCAGAGAGTAACATCAGGTTCCTTACAGAAGACATTTGAAATTTCTGTTATAATCTTCATCATTAAATGAAGTTCTGGAGGAGGGATGATATCAAGCACATACATCTCTCCAGACTCAAACAAGAGACATGGATGTATAACATTCTTATAGAGTTGCATAGAGCTTTTTTTAAATCCACTTTTAGCAAAGTTTTCATGCGTGTTCTTAAGCATATTAAAGGTTCTCAGTTCTCCAAGATTAGTTTTATCACCATCACAAAATAAACATGAATATTTTCCCCATGTCCTGACAAACCCAAAACTAAGTTGCATAATTTAAGATCTGCAGCAAGGTAAAACTTTAAATTGTTTAGCTTTGTTTTTCCTATAAGAATTTGAAGATGTGTGGCTTTCGCAAACATTTTTGGCAAAAGCCAATATTATAACTTTGTTCACTCAAGTATTCTTGGTTTCTTTGGAGTCATAATTTACTTCTCTGTTAAAAACATTCATAATAACTTTTAAAGATCCTTGGCCACTATCTATTCCTATACGAATAATAACATTCTTGACTTCTAGTCCCCTATGCAAACATGATTAACTAGAGATACTGGATCTTTGACATACACTAGATCTTTAATGACAGTTTCAATAGTTTTATTTTCTTTAACTTTATTTTTGGATAGAAATTCCACTTTTTCCACTGAGTAATAGTTATCTAAGGCATGTGACATTATCTTAATTTTTTTGGAAGAATTAGATTCCACACCTAATCTACCCAAATCTTTTCTTAATTCCATTGCTATTGAATCAATAGTACAGTCTGACATTCATGCTTTCTTTTGATATTATAGAAAGTTTGGGTAGAGTTTTAAGGGTTGGCTTTTTCCCTATCTGCAGACTTAAAGGAGTTCCTCCAGTCGACAATGTAACCAGTGTTGTCTAACTCAATATTTTTAAATAGTTGAATTTCTTTCACAGATTTGCTAAGTACTTGCTCAACTGTTTTTAAACCTGAAAATTTGTAAATATGTTTTAGGATTACGTAAAAATTTAGGTTTAAAAAAACTATAGTTAAGCTCTTACCTGTTGACATTAGCAGTGTTTTTAGGTTCTGTACAATGTCTGTCTTATTACAGGGATGTTGAATTCCAGATCCAATTCTCTGATAACAAGTACAACAAATTTTATCTATAACCTCCTTATAACCTCCTTTCAGGGTCATTAATGTACATGTTTAATACATCTTAAATAAATAAAAAAACTATACTTATTTAAAATATACTTAATTAAACTATAATAAAAGTTATAATTTTATAAATGTTTTTAACATAAATAGTTGAGCTACATATATTTTATAAATTTCTTTCTTTATAAATTACCTGAAGGTTTATAAATTTGGATTTATCTCTTGACATGATACAGAGCAGGCAATCAAATGTTGACACTGTCTCACCTATATTTAAATATATATACAAATGTTTATTCATATTATTTATAGCTTTTATTATATGCATAAGTAAGTATAAGTAAAAGTATTACCTTTAAATCTCGGAAGTAACTTTATTCTCTCTGATGTAAGCAACCACCTCTCTAAAGTAACTAGTGATAAAGTTTCTCCTTTTTTAGCTGAGTACAAATAACTCTTGCAGCTTGGACATAACCCAATAGGGTTGGAAACAAGTGTCATATTATAGTTAGTGTTGGCATACAGTTGAATCAAGATTAGTAAAGGATTTCCAGTTACCAGTTCAATGCATTTTAAGTTCTTGTCCCACTTTATTTATTTTTAATAAATAAAGGGGGGCAAGGGAAGGGGGAAAAAGTTGGCCTGATCCCCTTTAAAAATTGATTTTCTCATCAGGACGTACACCAAATAATTTTTCATAATATTGTCTGTATAATAGTCCTGAACACTTTGTAATAAAAATTTTTTAAGTAATCAAATTTTCAACCTAAACGACCTAGAATTGACTAGTGTTGACGTTGATCATTCTGTCTTCCTGCAAAATTAAATAATGGAACGCAAAACGTATACGAAAAGATTTCACAGAGATTCAAGTGAAAAATGTCAAAGGTACAAGTAATTTTTGAGTAAAACAAAGCTGAACTAAGCATTATTTATTATAAATGTTAGTTGAAAAACTATATAAGTATTTATTTTGTAAGTATATAAAGTTTTTTAACTGACATTTATTTCAGCTTTGTTTTATAGTCTATAGTTATAGCCCTATATTAGTATAATAAATAGTATATTTCTAGTAGTATCTCTAAATTGAAACATCTACAGATATATTAATCAATTAGATTAAAGTATCTATACTAAAACTATAAGATATAGTTTTCCTATAAATATTTTGATCTAGTAGACTAAAATATCTTTAGATTATCTACGTGTTTTAAAGACAGCTTCCATGTTTTTTTCCTCTTTTAAAACTTTGGAGTGCTTATTAAAAGTATATATTAGTATTTTTTGGTAATATTAACTCTAGGAGTCCTAGAGGTAAGATTCAAAAGATATATCTAATTTAAATGATGTATATTTAATTCAAAATGTGTTTTGCATTTCAACTAATTTCAACTTCATCTTTTCTTAAATTTTCATTTCAACTGTATAATAATAAAATTAAATTAAAAATTATTATTACATATATGAAAAAATTTTTAATAATAATAAAATTGGTTACAAATTAAGTAAAATAAATTTACTACCTTATCTCTGTTTAAATCAGTTTTATTATGTGTATATTTTACACAATTTTATTATTTGCAAAGTGTTTTTTTAGGAAACATATAACTAACTGGCGTAATAACTATAGTCGCGTGTTTGCAATTTCATAATTTATTGATTCCCCAACAAATGATTCAAATTTTAGTGAAAACTTTGCAATAAAAACTTTTAATTGTGGTTGTTTGTTGCAATCAGAAAGTGAGATTGAATCAGATTGTGATCATCAGCCCAAAATAAATTTTGTTTCGCAAAGTTTTGAAAGTTTTAGTTATCCTTCATATAATGAAATTTGTGAGTTAACGGATAATAGTCAATCATTATTAAAAGACATTCGTATTTGGGTATTAAAACATCAAACTACACAAGAATGTGTTAATGACTTTTAAACAATTTTAAGGAACCATGGACACCAACTTCCAAAAGATTCAAGGACAGTTTTAGAAACATTGAATAAAGTTGATACAACCGAAATAAATGAAGGGAAATATAAATACCTTGGCATAAAGGAAGGCCTTGAAACAATTTTAAAGCACAGTGCATATAACTGTGATGAAATTAAGCTACTCTTTAATGTAGATGGTCTCCCTATTTTTAAATCATTAGAATACCAATTATGGCCTGTTACATCTCAATTTTCTGTTTTTCAACCTTTTACTGTTGCCTTATACGGTGGTCAGAAAAAACCAAATCCTATTGAGTTTTTGACCAATTTTGCACATGAGCTGAAAGAGCTGCATAATAAAACAATTACTTTATGTGGTAAATCCTATTATGTCTCAATCTTTGCAGTTCCATGTGATTCGCCTGCTCGCAGTCTGCTGAAGGGAATTGTACAACATTGTGGTTACCATACCTGTGATGAGGCTGGTGTGTCTGTTAAAGGTCGTATAGTTTATGGTACAAATAATAGTAATTTGATTTTAAAAAGAACTGATTATGGGTTACGTTCAGGTCAGTATGCTCAACTGGATAATGAAAACAGATCTCATCAGCATATAGTAACTTCATTGTATGAAATTCAACAACTAGATCTTGTTCAACAGTTTCCATTAGACTATATGCATCTAGTTTGTTTAGGAGTAATGTGTCATATTTTATTGTATTTAAAAGGAGGATATCCACAGATATTTTCAGGAAGATTGGCTTCTGCAGATCTGATAAAGACATCTCATCGTTTAAGTGAACTAAAAGGAAAATTACCTTCAGAGTTTGTGAGACAACCAGGTGAACTAACTGAAGTTAATCGGTGGAAGGCTACTGAATTTAGAACTTTTCTTCTATACACAGGCATTGTTGTACTAAAGGATGTTCTGGAACCAAAAAGGTACAAACATTTTTTGAGTTTAGCCCTTGCAATACGCATGCTATGTGAAGAGGAAACTATCTTATGATGCAGTTATCTAAATTCAGCAAGGCAACTTTTAAATTATTTTTTTACTAATGCGCATGAGCATTATGGTGATACTTTCACTGTATATTGTATACATAACCTCAAGCATCTTACTGATGATGTTGAATTTTTTCAATCTTCTCTTGATGTTTTTTCATGTTTTCAATTTGAAAATTGTTTGAAAACCTTAAAAGGATTGGTACGTGGTAAACAGAATCTGTTAATAGAAATAGTTAAAAGGGTTCATGAATTAAAAGATACTTACTCTGAGAAAACAATTACTAATACCAAGTTTAATGGACCTACTAACTCTTGGTTTATTACTGAAGATTGTATATGCTTTGTGAATAACATTTTGCCTGATGGTAGATTAGTATGCAAGATGTACAAAAAGAGTGAACTAGAGAATTTTTTTGAAGATTTTGTTTCTTCTAAGACTCTTCAAATATTTCTGATAAGAAAAGACACTTTGGTCAGATCAAATAACTTGTGCAAATATAAGATGGAGAAAATGTGTTTGTTTAGCACATGGAAATGATCAAGTTATCATACCATTACTAAATTGTGTAAAATTGGGATGAAAAAAAAAACTCAATAACTTTATTTATATTAAACCTTTATTTATATTAAAATTTCCTATTTCTGAAACTTTTTTATGAATAAATTTATTTAAATAGATTAAAGATTTAAAGAATAGATTTATTTAAATATACTGACTTTGGTTTTATTATTAGTCTGTTTAAAAAGTCTGTTTATAGTTTTAAAAAAATTAAAAAGATGTTTAAGACTAATGCAGTACGTACTTTTGAATTGTTCATTAAGTCCTTTTTTTATTCTCAGGCTTTTTAGTACTGTTGTTATAACTGAAAAAGGTCTACCAACCAAAACAGTGGTTCCTTCTCATTGGGTAAGTTTTGATAAATGTATTATTGTTTATTTCCCACCCAAAGGATACAAAACTCTTGGTACTTATATTTCTGAGTGGGCTGTTCCAGAAGCAGGCTGGAAAGAGTATGAGTTTATTGAATTTATTTTGAAAGCTGGAACATTGGAGACATGCAACCAGATGCTTCAATTTCAAACAGAAGATGAGTCAGAAAATCACGGTTTATATTTTTTATTATTTATGTAATTTCTCTTGATAAAAAAATTATTATGAGTGTATAAATAATTTTTTTGTATTAACTGTAAGAAAAATCAAATAAAGTTCGAGCGCCCACTCCAGAGCTAGACTTCATTTTTAATTCTAATGAACCTGTGAACAGTGAATTTTCTCAAAAGCTGAGTGATAGATATTCTAATACAGGTGACAAAGTTTTATGTAAAGGTATTCTAGTAAAACTATTTGTTTGATTGGTATTTATTTCAACTTTTTTATTTTTTTGCATTAGAAAAACAGAAAGCAGCACAAGCTCCAAGTCTGTTGCCAGATTTTCCACCTGATTTTGTTAACAAAAATGTTGGAAAACCTTTCGGGAAATCAAAAGAAGTTCGAGCACCTAGCCCAGAGCTAGACTTAATTTTTAATTCTAATGAACCTATGAGCAGTGGACTCATAAGCTGAGCAATAAATGTTCAAATACAGGTGAAAAAGTTATATTTAAAGATATTTCAAAAAAAATTATATTTTTTATAAAACTATATTTTCAAAAAAAAAAAGTCATTTAACTATTTTTTCAACTTGATTTTCAAACAGGTAATTTAAAAAGGAAACATTCAAATATAGGCGATGGTGGAATTTCTTTAAAGGAAATGTCAAACAAGCGTGAGTACTTTTGTATTTACTTGAATATATTTATCAATGTTGTTTTTCATTTATGAAAACTGTTTCATTTTTTTTTTTTTTTTTTGTATTGTATTGATAATTACATTTTTAATTCATTTTAGTTTCACAATTGAGTATTTATTGTTATATAATAAAATGCAATTAAATCTAATTTAAAAGTTGCAATTAATAATAAATATTTTGTCAATATTTAAAAATCACAAATAAAATATTTAATTTAACTTCAGAATTTCAATATGCAATTTTCATGGAACTAACAAGTCAATTTAATCAAATTAAGGAGAATCAAAAGAAAATCCTTGATCGTCTTGAGCTACTTGAAAATAATGATGCGGGACCCAGTGGGTTTGCAACTGCCGATATTTTAACAGAACCAATAGATACAATGGAAAGGTTTGATGAGGAAGAAAATGTATTAAACTTCAGTAAAGCAGCTAGGTTTCGAAAGGTAGTTTGTCATAATTTTTTTCACCTTATAAAAAAGTAAATTTAATAAACAGTTTTAAATGTTACTTTTTAAAACACAACTCAAAACTAAAAATGCTAATTTTTTATTTTTTTTTATTTTATTTTTAATTAGGAGTTTACAATTTTATTTACAATGTTATTTTTTCTTAAATAGACACAAGATTGAGATGAGTTTGCATCGGATTTTTTTTTAACGTTTTTATTGTCTCTAGATTACACAAAAAAAGGGCGTTGGTGGTTCAACGCCACGTCGACTTGTTAAAAATGTGTTAGACAGCATAATGACACAATCTTTACAAAGCTGCTTCAGTAAAGATGGAATAAAAGGAAAACAAAAATTTGTGGCCACAACTTTATACAAATGTTTAAAAAGTAAGTTAGTTGACAAACCTAATTACATTGTAATTAACTTGAGGTTTTTATTAAGTTTGTTATGAAGAACAAAAAAGTCATAATAACATTTAAATATAAATGAAAAATAGTTCTAAATTTTGCTTGTTTTAGAAGCGCTTATCTCAGAAAAAGATGGTTTTGACGTGGGCAATATTGAGGCACTTGTTGGCGACTTGTTAAAACGTGCAATGCCGAAATTGCAAAAAGAAGGAATTAAATAATATAAAAATTCTTTAGTTTTTTTTAATTATAGCATGTATTTTAACATTTAAATAATTAAATAAATTTTTAACTTGAAAAAAGAAATTATTTCTAGTTTTCCGTGCCATGCCTAAATACGACGACCATAGGTTTAATAGGATGTCAATTTTGGACAAATATAGACGTCCGCTAGGCGTCTTAATTCGTCCAAAAAAGACGTCATTGGACGTCCGTTATGGACGGACAAAAGGTGTTTCATTTGGACGTCTACCGGACGTCCATTAGACGTCCAAAATGGACGTCCTAGGTCCAATCTGGACGTCGTTGGACGTTCAAATGCCCACTGGGCTAAGCTATCATGAACACGCTAATACCAAAATTTTTTTCGATGATATGATACAACATTACATTTTCCCAATTATAAACAAATCCACCCGGGTAACTCCCACCTCAATTACAGCTATTGACAATATATTGACAAATTCAATTCAAGATCTTAAAAGTAGGAATAATTAAAACGGATATATCTGACCACTTCCCAATTTACTTCTCACTATCACAACAAGCAACACGTGTCAATAACTTGAAAATAAAAATCATCAAAAGAAGCATAAATAAATTTTCGACCCAAAAACTAAAAGACTCACTAGCGGTAGTAAATTGGTCGAAAATATATCATGAATGTAACCTCGGACGCACAAATTCCGCTGACAATAAGTTTATAAATATTTTCCTAAATCTCTACAATAAACATTTTCCAAAGGTCGAAAAATAAATTAAAGCAAAATACCTAACCACTTTAGATAAAATATCTAAAAAATAGAAATGGTATTAATTTGTCTAAGTATAAACAATATAAAAATCTATTTGAAAAAATAAAATTAAAATCCAAAAAAACTATATTTCTCAAAGCAAATACAAAAATTTAAAGAAGATAATAAAAAAATCTGGGATATTATAAAAGAAATAATTGGTAAAGATAAAAAAAAGCTCGAACCAACTACCTCCAAAAGTTCTCATAAGTGAAAAAGAGTTTAATAATAAAAAAATTATCTCTGAAAAATTTAACAAATACTTTGCAAGTATAGGTTCCAAACTCGCCTCTAAAATTCAACCTACAAACAATTTATTTGAGAATTACATCGAGGACTCTCGTTGCTCCCTAGTTTTTAAAGAATTAGAATACGAAGAACTTGAAACAGCAATTAAAACATTAAAAATTAACAAAGGTTCAGGTATCGGCAATATCCCAGCCAATATTATTTTGAATGTCTTCCCAGAAATAAGAAAACCCATTTTTCAAATATTTAACTCTTCAATAATTACAGGAATTGTACCCGACTATTTAAAAATAGCTAAAGTTATTCTTATCTATAAATCCGGAGATACATCCTCCTTAAATAATTACAGACCAATATCAATCCTTCCTGTATTTTCAAAACTACTCGAACGAATAATCTACAATCGTTTATATAAATACCTAACCACAAACAAAATCCTGAATGAAAACCAATATGGTTTTCAAACTCAGCACTCGACAGAGCATGCTATCGTAGACCTCGTCAATAGGATTAGTGAATCAATCTATGAAAAGAAGTTCGTATTAGGAGTCTTTGTAGACTTGTCAAAAGCGTTCGACACAATAAATCATGAAATCCTACTAAAAAAGTTGGAAAAATACAGATTAAAAAACCATACACTGCAGTGGTTTAAAAGTTACCTGTATAACAGACAACAGTGTGTTATTACAGATGATAATTACCACAGTAAATTACTAAAATTAACTTGCGGTGTTCCTCAAGGTTCGATTCTTGCTCCTCTTTTGTTCCTAATCTGTATAAACGACCTTCCAAAAGTTTCTAGCAAACTTGAATCTATATTGTTTGCAGACGATACAAGTTTATTTTACTATTCGACAAACATCAAGGATCTGTATGATAATGTAAACATAGAACTCCAAAAATTAAATATATGGTTTAAAACAAATAAGTTATCCCTAAACATAGAAAAAACAAAATACACTTTATTTCATTCAAACCAACAAAGAAACACACTACCAAATATTCTACCCTCTTTAAAAATAGAAAGTATAGTAATTGAGAGAACTCACGAAACTAAATGTTTAGGAGTTATAATTGATGAAGATTTATCTTGGAAAACTCACATAAATGTTTTAAACACTAAAATATCAAAAAACATAGGTCTACTTTATAAAGCAAAACCTATGCTGTCACAAAGTAATTTAAAACTTATATATTTCTCTTTTATACATAGCTACCTCATATATGCGAATATAGCTTGGGCGAGTACGCATATAACCAAATTGAAAACTTTATATCGACGTCAGAAACATGCTGTAAGACTAATCTACCATAAAGACAAATTTACACACACTGAACCCTTATTTAAAGAAATGAATGTGCTTAATATTTATCAAATTAATATTTACCAAAATATATTGTTTATGCTAAAATTTAAATTAGGTCAAGTACCAAACCATTTTTTAAATAACTTTTTTATAAATATCGTTAATAAATATAACACAAGAGAAACAGGAAACTTTATTACACCTTTCAAAAAAACAAAACTTTCCAAGTTCTCAATTTCATATCGGGGTCCTTATTTATACAACAAACTAGTAACTAAAAATAAATAAATTTTCAATCTAGATTCAATTTGCAATCAAAATTCTTTGAAAAAAAAGTTAAAAAATCTGATACTGAATCTAAATAGATACTCAGAATTCTTCCAAGACTATAAATTAAAATACATATATATCAACTACAAAGTGAACTGACTCGTTTTATGTGTATTATCTAAATGACTCTTACCTTTCTCAAACAATATATCAAAAATTGTTTATTACACACAAAAAAAAACACTTGATTTTTTCTTATCAAGTTTAGTTATTATGCTGCTTGTTATGTCTAATATTTTATACTGAGCTTATTTTGAGTTTATTTTTTACTATGAGCTTAATTTAAAGAATATAAAAATATAGTTGTATTTAATATATAATTATATTTAACATAATCATAATATATATCAAACACATTTTAAGGGCTTCGTGATAAGATCATTACGATCTTCTTGAAGTCCGGCCTGTACTATTTAATTATAAATTTTACTATATATTTTGACTCACGAGACTTGTAAATATTACAACTTTTAATTCACGAAACTTGTAAATGTTATATGTACGACAAATATATGAATAAAAAAAAAAAAAAATCACGAAACGTATTATCACTTCCGAGTGGAAAATTTGAAACTTTAACTTTAGACTTGCTCCTCTCTCGATATTTTCTGATTTCTAAAGTTATGTCATCTGCTTCTTAGACCTTTAAAAATGATAGTCATAGAAATAAGATTTTATTTCAATTTTTTATAAAAACTCTAGCTATTAAAGATTTACGGAATGTATTTTTATGGGATATATTCTAATAAAGACAAAAGGAGCCATCCATAAAGGACGTCATCCATATAAGGAGGGGAGGGGTTCGAGATAAAAAAGACAAAAAAGAACAAGGGGAGGGAGGGAGTTTATCAGAAAAGGACGTCACTTTGTAGATTTTTTGTTTTAGTTTAACTAACTTGAAAAACTATGTAAACATGTGTTTTTAAGAAGATAATGTATGAGAATATTTTTAATTTTATTTTTCAAAGGTGTAGCAGCGGATTCAAACATGATTGCGAGATAAAATAATTTTTGGGTGGTTTAAATTGGGGGAGGGGGTGAAAGATTTTATGACGTCCTTTTCAAGGGGGTATAGGGAAAAAGGACAACCGGTGACAAAGGGGGAAGAGAGCAAAAATTGGCTAAAAAATGATGACGTCCTCTTTGGATAGCCCCAAAACTATTTATTTATTACTATTGTAATTTGTAACAATTTCTTATCCGTGACCTGTACAAGTTTTATATATTTTAATGCATTTGTATGCAACATAATAAAAATTAATAAAAAAATGTTAGATAAATGCAAAAGGAAACTTGATGCATAAAAGTTTACTTAGCCACAAACTTACGTTAATGTCCAAAATCATTTTGGCTTAACTTTTTGACAAGCATTTAATATTATTCTTTTAGTTCTTTATGATTAGAATTAATACTTTTTATGGTTTTGGTTTAGTGCTCTTAGATCTTCTTAATTTCATTTTTATAGCGTTACGTACAAGCTTATGTAAGTGTAAAAATCTTCATGTTGAGTTTTCAGGCATTTTATGGAATAACCGCGTATATCTATATATTTATAAAATGAGAAAACTTAAAAATTTTTAGAATTTTTTTTTGTATATTCTTATTTTTTTGTTATGAATATATAAGCAAAATTGAAAAAATTTATTACGCTATGAGGAGGTTTTAAACCCTCCAAAATAAAACTGATGACATCGCATTTAACCACTGCGTTATCTATGAAATACATTTAACCGAAAAACAAACCTAATTATAAGCCTTTTATAAGCTCTACGTATGCGGAAAAGGTGTGCATGTTAAGTTTTTTGCTCTTAAATTTTTTTTTTCAGAATAAATTATTTTACTAAAAAGTATTGAAGTAAATAAGGAATAGATACAGAAATTTTCGGCTAGAAATAGATATAAAAATTGGTAAAGAAGTGTATTTATAGAAAATTTCGGTTTGGAATAGATATACAAAGACCCGTATTTTTACGGGGCCAATCTCAGCTAGTAAAAATAATATTTCTAATAATAATATTAATAAACATAAGAATCACAGTATTAGTAAAAAAAAAAAAAAATATTACCAACAATAATGATGATAAAAATAATAATAGTAATAATAATAAGTCTTATAACACTTTTTATAACACATTAGCTATATATATTATATATTTATATATGAAATTTACTTTATATATAATATATAAAGTTTGACAGTTTCAAACAGTTAAAAAATTTATAAAATGTAACAACTGACAATGACATAAAACAATTATTTAAAGTGAAAACAAGAAAATAGAAAAAACAATAATATTTTTTTTTTCGGTTTACATTTGTTAATCGTTGTACAGCTTTAAATAACCCATAATAAAAATAAAGGCATAAACTTACA